TCCCTACACATCACCCAGTAAAAAGAAAGCCCAGAGCTGCAGAAATTGTCCTTACTTCTTACAGCAACCCCCAAAAATAATAAGGAAAAAATGGACTCAGAAAAGAGAAAGAGAAGCAAAAAGAAAGAAGAATCAAAGGCAGAAACAGGAATATATTTTTTTCTTCCCGAGTATGAAGATGAACAACAATAAAGGACTCGCTATACTAAGTAACAGTCCAAACATCTAATCTCCGGGTTTATATGCTGTACGCAGCATGGAATTTGGCCTGCAGTACAAGATTTAACGCTCCTGATTTAGACAATACATTGCCACAGTTGTGCTACAACAGGCAACAGAGAAGGAGCACGAAGGGCTGACGTGAGAATCCACAGACTGACCAACACCAGGAGTCCCGGACATAGAAGGGACCGTCAAAATAAGGCATCTGAAAGGGTATCTCCCTCAGCACTGAGAGAACAAGAGAGACCATTACCTCTTCTTTGGATTTTTTAGACCTGTCGTCATCTTTCCTGGTCTTTTTTAATGCATCTGTGCCAACCACCGAAAGGATATTTCTTAATCTGGAAAGAAACACGTTAAGTTGTACTCACTCACAAGGAATTCTCAGCTAACCCGACAAATAACCATTGCCTGCCATTCTTTCTTCCTCGTTTTTTTTCTTGCCGCATTGCGATGAAGCATTACTGACTGCCGGCACTCACTGCACCCCAACTACAAGGAAAATGTCAGGAATTTGATAAACTGAGAGTTCCCCGTTTGCAACACTTGGGGAAGACACAGCACCTCTCCCTCCTTTCTGCAGGACCTTCTCCAAAGAGCGTGATGGGCTCCCCGAGTGCTCGCAGACAGGCTTTCACTTCGGAGTCGTCAGTGGACACGTTGATCTGCCGGGCTCTCTTCCTGCGCTCAAACTCAGCCAGCACTTCCGCCTGCCGCTCGCTCATGTGGTCTTCGAGATCAAAGACCTCACCTGAACAAAAAAATGAAGCCATCGGATTGAAAACAACGGCTGGACAGGAGATCCCTCTCAAACGGGAAGCTCCGAACAAAGAGCCAACAGTCCAGGCAACGGTCTCATGGTTTCGGTTTTAAATTATACTCCGAAGTTGATCAGAGACTTGTAAAAGTGTCACATTCCACAGCAAGAGGGGGAAAAAAAGGTGGTTAAACATTCTCACCGCTGCTTATGTTGATGTTGCCAGCCTCGATCGCAGCTTTCATCCCTTCTTTTCCCAGCAGCCCCGATTCTCCTTTTGCCAGACGCTCCCTTTCCTTCTCTTCCAAACTGCCATAAAAGATGGGCGCTCTCTTGGGCGGAGGAGCATCGCTCTCCTCTGCGGGCTTGCTCTTTGTGGCCTGGAAGGTAAAGACAGAATTTTAAGTGTGTTTTGGCTACAAAGGAGACAACAATCAGCTTGTTTGTGTGAGAAAGCACTGCTCTGCTACAGAAAGTTAGCATGCACATCGCAAAGAGACCCTGAAATTGTACGTAAGCTGTCAATCTTGGACAACGAGGCTATGCCCCAAGCACGAAGATCAAAAGTAAAACGCCACGTTAAATAATTTGCTTAAATTAGACTGTGTTGTCTTTTGATTCTTTATTCTCTGCTTGGACCTTGGCTTTAAGGCTCTGGTTTGGGGTTTTTTTGTTTTGTTTTGTTTTGTTTTAAACTTTAGAAGAGGAAGCTTTTCCTAATCTTGCTGATCAAGCCCCAGAAAAGGCACGAGCGACGCCGGCTGCCAGCTCCCGGTGCCCTCGCTGGAAAGCAGAGGGAGATGAAACGTGAACGGCTCCTTCCTCCCAGAAGAGAAGCGTTACAACAAACCTCCCCAAAAAAAAGCAACGGATTCTGTAAAACCGCATGAAAACGCGCCAGTGCTCGCTCCGGTCGCGGGCCCCTGAAGAGCTCCGGCGTCAGCGCGGGGGTGCTTCCCCGCACCGGGGCCTCCCCGCACCGGGGCCTCCCCGCCTCGGCAATCCCCACACGGCCCAGGAGCAAAGGCGAGCCCCCGGCTC